CGATGCGATTCCATCGGCAATGAAACGACCAGTGTAGAATACAAATCATGTATATCCTAAAATAAAAAGATCGAATTGTAAAGTAATTATTTTTTAAAACGTTAATATCTAAGCATTTATTGATACAAAAAAACAGAAATAACCGAAATATATGCTATTATGTTAAGTATATATTCTAATTTTGAATCTAAGGTTCACCATGAAACACTACCGAATGAAATTCAGTGATATAACGAATAAGCTACTCTAAGCAATTCTTGACCCGCTCTAAATCCTCAGTCACCTAATATTCTGTTAAACTAACCTTTACAAAAGGTCTTCCAGACCTTGTTGTTTTCATCATATGTGTTGAAGATTGCTGGTGTACTTGTGAATGATTAGACGCCATGATTTGTGTATATATAATTTTATTTTTATATATATAAATTTTTTATTTTATATATGTATATATCAAATATATATATTTTTTTTATTTTTAATTTAATTTTTTTTTGTTTCCTTTCAACAGAAAAAAAAAATGCTCGACAAAATAAAGTGTGCGCTTAAACTTTTACAGACGAATAGACAAAAATTTAACAAGAAGGGTTTAAGAAGAAAAAAAAAACACTGGTTTTGATTTATGTAGTATACAAAAATTGGAAACAAAAAAAATGCAACGTGATGAGGTGCTTGTGTTAATCGTAATGGTATAATGTTTATTTATGCTTTCCCACAACAATGAATGTTTTTTTTTTAAACATAAAGTACTTGTCAAACATTGAAATTCTATTTTGAGCTATCTTACCCATTAAAAATCGGATTAAATTTAATCGATTTTTAAATAGAAGTTTGTCCAAACGGTATTTCCCGGCATATTTATTTACATAATAATAGTATAATAATGTAATACAAAAATTTGACTACGTATGCTGAACTTAACGCTAAGAATATTTGGTACGTATTTCGAAATAAGAAAAATTATAATTTGGAAGATTTACGTCGCAAAAGATCGACTTAGCTTTCATTATTAAAGAAAAACTCGCCATCACCCATTATGTTCATAAACAAATATTCTTCTCAATAAGAACAATACATACCAGCCAGTGATGCACATAAGAATCGGCTGCACACTTATAACAGGTTGAAATGTCAAATCTGCCATATAATCTTCTCCACACGAAAGCATAGTGAGGATCTTTAAGCAAATATTGTGTTTCAGATATCGATATTCTGATATTTGTAAATATCTAAAGCTTTGTTGAAACTAAACAACACATAATTTATCTCGTACAACCCATAATTTTGTTTCGGATAAGATTTTTATGAAATCTAAATTCATTGAACATTCAAAGGTATTACAATTTATGTTTATGTTATATTAAGTGTATATTTTTGATGTTACATTTAAACCTCGCGGACGCCCTCGTGGTGAACGATACATGTCTGTAAATTCATAGTGATATATGCTAGTGATATATGCTACGTATTAAATGCATTTATACTTTAAAATAATAAGGTTGCATGGTTAATTGATTGATAAAGCGCACATCTTCCCGAATAAAAATTCTATCGCTATATGATGTAATCAAAACAATCGGTTCTTGGTTTCGTTCCATGTGACTTATTTTAAAGTTTCATGATTTTTAAAGTTTCATGATTTTTAAAAATTCATGATTAGTTGAAACTGCAACACAAAATATAAAGTAATTATATAACTCCCATGCAAAAGTAATATTTCTCAGTACACGCGATACTCTAACCTACACTTGAGGTTTTGCATTAATTTTATACAGCAGAGCACATCAGGGCTTCGTCTTATTGTATCTAATTGATAAACATTTTGAAAAAGGACTATGCATTCTGACAATTAGATCATTCTTTACTAATTCTTTATTTAAAGACAATGAAACACTTCAGGGGATTTATTAAGTGGGTTGATCACTGTATGCCCAACTTCTCCTAATACATCCGTTATTTTATTTCATTTATTAATTCGGATTACAATCATCTGTTGGATCTACAAATATGTAAGTATATAGTTGGATGCATGCTCCGACAAATTTCAACCTCTGATCTTGACCATCATGATCATACATGCTAACGAGATAATAATATCTTTGATGTTTTGTTTTCCAATCTCTCCAAACTAAGCACGCAGAAATTCTACTTATTATGCTAAAAATGGCATGCCTATTATTATATGCGTACATCAAATATAGATTGAATGCATTTCCATAATATTTAGTCCTGCACTGCATTCTTTGGAAAACCGAGCTCGTAAATTATTATTATCTAGATAATCTGTTGATTTACATGCCATCGTATAACTGATAATGTATGTACGTACGTACGTGAGCAATAATGTGAGCAATAATTGTTTGGATGCAAAAATCTTATCGGTATGGTTTTCAACAAATAAGTGATCATTATTCCATGGATTCGTTAGAACAAAAATATATCGATATCACACACACATTTTTAGAAAAAAAGATTATGTTTTTTGTTGTATCTATTTGAAACATCTTTGTGACATCGCAAATAATATACTTTGTTTTATAAACATATACGTACGTGCATATGCACATCTATAATCTCAATTTCACTATGTACAGTACGTACGTACGTACGTTCGTTCCTACGTATCTGCTATGTAATAATGTGACAAACGATTTGATTGGTTAAAGTCTGTACACTAAACAATTTCATCATAGGATCATATAAAATCTATCTCGCAACCCGAGTTAATTTATTTCCAAAAATTACAAATTGTAATCATTTTTGTTGATATTTAAGAAACAATCACTGTAGTGTACCAGTTTAAGAGTTAAACGGTGGATTCTTAAGTATAATACGTATACCGTAAACTCTCGATTTCGAGTACGTGGCCCTTATTTCGAATATAGGTAATATACTGATATAGGTAAATAGTCTACAAAGGACTGGTTCGGACCGGATCTCAAACCAGACTTTTTAGGGGGTCTGAAACTAGTCCAGATAAATTTAATAAAATTGAATCTGCTTTCAAAATTATCTATATTTGTATATTAAACTGCTGGGTTAGATCCGGACTTTTTAAAACCGGTATTATGCCCGAGATTGGGAGTGCAATATCATATGTATGCAGGCATCGCACAAGTTACACAAAGTAAATATTTATTAGCGTTAGGGATTCAGCTATTAAGGAGAGTAGTTTAATTGGAAAATACTGTACGTTATTATTTTATTTATTATATAACAAGCAGGGCGACATATATCTTCTCTTTATAAGTTTGAGCATCATATTTATACAAACCCTGAGAGTTATTCACCCCCATTGAGGATCATTCGAATTCACCAGGGCGACCCCGTTACGGTCATGTGACTTAATACTGTAATATTCCTGTATTCGTTAATAAATTAAAATTCTGAAATTAGCGTCAGAGTTAATGTTAGAATTAGGGTTAGAAGTATAGATGCTGTTGAAACTGGTGAAACTTTTGGAGAACGTTGTGAAACTGGCGAAATTTAATATAACAGCCAATCAGATTTTAGATAGTCTCCATATTATTTAGTTTCACCAGCATCTATAGTTAGCAGAAGACTTCTATCAGTAAATTGCACAAGGATTTTTTTTTATTAAAGCACAAAGACCGGTTTCTTATACAAATTCTTGAGATAAAGGTGATTTTTGACAAAGCGAACGTTTGTTTTGACTGATCGTGTTACGGTACACATTTATTGGCTAATTTGTTGTTGATCATCAAAACGGGTCGAACCGATCGCCTTGGTGAATTCGGGTTAAACCACCCAGCTAAGCCTCGATTTACATTCTCCGAGTCTTGATTCAATAGTAATAAAATTATCTAAAAATTATAGGGTATTAACCAATTGGTTGAGGCTGGACAATCGTTAGATCATGAATAATAAATTATACAGTAATAACTATGTTATGCATTAGCATTTGATTCGAAATTAGCTACGTAATGAGCCAACAATATCTATATTCTAAAAAAAAGTATTTAGTTAAGGGGACGTGAATTTTTATATTATATTTTTAAGTTTTAAGGTACTTTTTAGGACGGAACGATCAGTTGACTGTCGTTACCGCTGAGTTTACTATTATTTGTTTTAGATATGGGGACTAGTAAAAAGGCTCAATTTGGAAAAATCCACCGATATGTTATGAATCTGGTTTTTTTTCATAATGCATATTAGTAGGGTGCACGTTATTTTGGGATGCGTATGAGCGTTATTCTGCTACGTATTTTTAGAAAACGCGATTTTGAAATAACGCCCATGCTCACTATTTCAAGAATTTACAATATAAATTGTTTTAAAGCATCTTTTTTTATGTGATTGCCTAGTGATTAAGATAATGCTTAAGCATAAACTCTAGTACCATTAGTTCAAAAAATTTTACTATGTAATGTATTAATAGTAATTTTAGATTTTATTATATTTTTGTTTTTTGATCTTGTTTGATTTTGAAATTTGATTTGATTCAATAGCAATTTTATTTATTTGTTTTTTTTGGTATTAAGGTGACCTCTTTGGTCAAGTGTGTTTTTATTGCTTTTGGAAGTCATTGTACATATTTGGAGAGTACATTCTAGCCATACCTAGGGTTGGCAAAGTCCTTAGGTCCGGGACTTTAGGACCTGGTCTTTAGACCCGATTTTTAAAAACCAGGTCCTGATTTTAGGACCTAAGTCCGTAGGTCCTTAAAAAAGTCCTAATATAACAAAATATAATACACAATATATATATACGTACAGTACATGTATATATGTGTATGTACATATATGTATGTATGTTCTGGCTCATTTCACGAATTCGATCAATTCCGGGTTGAACTAGATCATTCTTGAATCCTAAAATGAACTAGATCATTTCTTAGCGAAAATTTTAAAAATTCAAAAAATGATCGGCGAGGTGTACTAAAGATATCCAAATAGTCTTTAAACAATTTTCTCAGCGTCAATGGCGACTCCCAATGAGAAGGTATTTTATAATCTAACATATGAAAAAAATCTCAATTTGAGCTAAAGACGTATGCTAATATCCAAATTTATTGAACAACCTTCATCATTTGGCACAAGAATAAAAGTATCATCTGCTACATCTGATAAATTCATCAACTTGATAAATTCATCCACATCTTCCGGCAAGTTTTTTGGACGGATGACAGCAACATCACCAGGATTGTATCTAAATATAGACCCAAATAAGAAAAACAATCTATTGTGTTTATACGCAAATAAAAACTCACTTATGTTCAGTATCACCGATATCTAATTCTATATGACGAACGTCTTGGAAATGATCATGCGATGTTACACGCTTGTTATTAACCAATAGTGCATAAATTTCACCATTATTAATTTTTTCTTTGTTTTCTTCAAATTTCTGACCAACAAATTCGACACGAAATCTCGCCGGCGTAAAATAAATAACGATAGCTAAGAACAAAATTATGTATGTAAAATTGTAACTTTAAATAGAATTTTAAATAATACTAAAGGATATAATAAAATATCATCAGACAAAACTTCTAGATTCGGCGCCAATGGATAATTTTCCATTATGATTTCCCATAATTTTTTTAACCATGGATCAAGGGCACCATCTATACTAAAAACATTAGAACAACATGAATGTCATCCACACATATGACATAAAAAAAAAAGTAAATAAATAATGCAAAATTTATTAATTTTTATGTTAACTGACCCAAGATAATGTTGATCATCTCCATCCCCGCGTGGAAGTATGCTCTGAGCACCCAATTGCAAAAGACGCTTAAAAAGCTTTTTCGCAGGCCAATTATATCTTATGATAAGAAATGATTGTAATCCACTATCTGTATAAACACCCATTGTATGGGTGCAAATCATTTTCTCATGAAATTCTTATCAAACTTACCTTACGTATGAAGAATCTCCAAGACCAAAAACTGCAAATTTCATTTGATTTAAAATATCGTTTGGAAGGTTTTTCCTCAATAAATATTTCCAAAATTTCTGCGCACAAAATGAATACATCACATCTAACTCGCTGAATAAGATTAATACATTTTGTTTAACAGAAGTGACCATGGACATACTCTCATATTACTAGGCTCGTCACCTTGGCCTGTTGTTGAGCAAATGAAAATGACCAAACTCTCATTTATCAAATTTGCCTAAAGTGTCAAATAAATATATCATATGATTGTACTAAACGAACTAACAATAAATAGTTATTATATACCCTCTCATAATCGTCCATTGAACTAATTCTAACTTTGAAATGACGCCTTCGTGCTTGCCTAGAAATTCTTTCCGCAACATCTTGGGCGCAGCCTGTCTGGCTCCCATAAAGAATAAGTAAATGACGATTTGATAAATCAGACGAAACATCATGTCTAGATAGTTTTTCGACAGACTTAGCGAGCATGTTGCAATTTAAAAGGTTTGTCCTGCCGAAGTGAATCTGATTGGTTAATTAGTATCTGCTACGTTATGTACTATGTAGATCAAATATAATATATTTGATCTAAGTAAAAGTTTTCTTAACTTTAAATTTAAATATCTTGTCAACTATCTTATTAAATCTAATAAATTTTTTTTTT